CGAACTTTTTGAAGTTCCCTTGTAAGTGTTTTACTTATAAATAGTTAGTTGGCTCTTACTTTACATTAAATAAAGGAAAATGTTAAATTAAAAAAATGAGGCAGTCATGGTCAAATGGCAGTCTGTTCCATTCCTTTCTGTATTTTAGCTGTATTACAATGATAAAGTATTTTTTGATGGATTTAAACATAATGCACAAAGAAAAGGCAGATAGATACCCAAATAAAATATATATGTCTATAGCATCATTATAGCCAGTTGAGCAATTGGAGTCAGCTACTATAGCTATAACACTGAGTGATAAGGTGTGCTTTGTATGAAAATTTTTTCAGTGTTTTAAAAAGTCATCTTCTAATTTGGATTGTTATAAATCCTGAAAATAATTATTTTATTCATTTTGGTTTTGTACTTTTTAAATATATCATTAGTAGTTTTGTTGTTTATAATTGAGCTAATGTTTTTCACATTTCATTACCTAATTTTCATTTTCTTGGTTTAAATTTGTTGAAAAAATTCTAAACCAGAAAGTAAAATAGGGCTGTATCTTATTCTTTACCTAGTCTTCCAACATTGCAGTGTTGAATTTATATACATCCTTAGCTGTTTATACTTAACCTATATATTTTGCAAAATGATTGCTTGATTCTGTAATTTAGATTTCTCAGCCAGTATTGTTCTGTTCTCTAATATTTCTTCATGTTATCCTTAATTCTCATATTCTAGTTTTTCACGGAGTGTTTGATCTGTTAACTAATCCAGTAACTCAAATTTTAAAAGGATGCGTGCAAGATTGTAAGGTAGCAGAGGGTGTGCTGTACATACAATAATTCCGATGCAGTAAGGGACAAGCCAAAGGCAAAAATGAGCTGCAGCTTATGAAACATAAGAATAATTTTAAAACATTTTATTTAAATCCATAGTTGGGTGAATTAAAGGGAAGGGAAAAGGCTTAAGATGGAAGATGTAGTATTAGCAGGTCACATAAAACAGAACAGTGAGTGACTATTTTCCATTTTCTCTTAGGAGCAGAATTAACTGACAATTGAGTTTTAGTTTGGAAAAGAAAAAAATCAAGATAATTAAAGCAGAGAAGTATGAGGAGATAGTAAGGTAGTATAACCAAAACAAGTTTTCAGGCCTAAACAAAAATAGTTTTCAGCATACTAGAATATGAAAAAATGTGACTGTTGAATTACCCATTCAAGAAAACATAGAAGATGGGAGGAGCCTAAATGCTGGAAAGGTGAATATTCCTCAAAGCTGAAAAACTTATATTCTAAACTTGATGGCACAACCTGTAGATTACAAAATGGACTATATCCTATTTAAACTGGTGAATCCAGAAGGAGCTTCTGGTCCCAGTGTAGCTTGAGATTTTGTAGGTATTCGATAAAGTTTTGGTATCCAGGATTAGAGAAATGTGTAGTCTATGAAACTGCAGTTAGTTTGATTCTTGACTTATAGACTAGTCATCCCTAAAGAATGTCAACCGGTAGATTAACATCAGTCTGAAGGGGATATGTGTAGTAGAAAACAACCTGGAAAAAAAATTAAATCATCTGCTGGTTTCTAAACAAACAGTTGTAGAGTTATGGAGTGGTAGAGACTTGTCTTAGCACCACCAGGCAGAATGTCAGCAGGGTGATGTGCTTGTCAAGGAAGTAAAGGAATTCTTAAACGATGTTGATGGAAGAGGAGAGTTTGGGACTAGAAGTAGACACAGCCTCAGTCTGTATACTCATCTTTGTTTTGGAATGTTGTGTGTGGTATGTGATTTTACATTTTAAAAGGGACTTTGACAAAATGGAGTGTGTCTAAACAAGTGGGAGAGTATAAAACCATGTCATAAGAGTTTAGAGACAAGGCTACTTCGATACTGTACAACTTTTCAAGTATTCGTGGAGCTGCTGGGTGGGGGCCAGCAGATGAAATTTTAGGATAGTAGATTTTGGTTCACTAAAACAAATTTGTAACATTTATAATCTTGAGAAATGTCTAAAACAGATTATCTTGTATTGGGGATATTTAGATAGAAGATGCATGTCCAATTTAGGGGTTATTGTTGTCGGAATTTTTTATACTAAGGTGAGTAAACAAATGGTTCTGAACTTTTAGTTCTCTGAACTACTGCTGCAGGCTGAAGAAGTTGCTGTGGTGGGGGGGGGCATTTGAGCCTTATTATGTAATATTTGATACAACAAAATAATATATACAACGTGTTAGTTATGAAGCATTCCTGTGTTTCATAAACTAACACCTGTGAACCCAAAAGGACCAGAGCATTCCCTAAACTGATACCCATACCTATACCTATTGCAGGTTTCTGTAATAATTTGGCTATAATTATATCAACTGGATAGGATAACATTAACAGAAGCTCTGATTGCCAGGACTTAGGGAATGAAAAGTTTTAGTGATTAAACTTTTTATAACATGGAGTTATGGGGGAATTATGGGGTTCTTGCATTCTAAGTTTGGAAACCAGTGGATTCAGTTGAGTCATTCAATAAGTGACTTCTAATTATATGAAGCATAAGCACAGAGAGGTTAAGTAAGACGCTTATCTAAAAATCACAAAGAATTACTATTAGAACTGGAATCAGAACTTGTTCTGAGTTGCAGGACGTGCTGACGATTTCCTGGCTAGAAAAGTGGTGTTGATAAAGTTAGTAGTATGTATGCAGCTTGTTAGACTCAGCAGTGAATAAAATGGTAAATTCCTTGAGGACCAGAACTGTGTCTTTAGTCGTCTTTTCATTTCCATTAGTACTGTCTTGTACATAATTTGTGTTCTGTTATTAAATTGACTGATGTATCTTAGAGACTGAAAAAATCATGGTAGAAAGACTTCTTATCTATCTCCCATATTAGACTAAGTTCTTTGAGAGCTGGAACTATTAAACTTCTTGTTTAACTTCAGTGCTCCAGAACCTAGCTCATTTCTCCCTTGACTTACTGCCACCAAGTATTTATTGAGTGTGTTCAGGCACTGTTATAGGACACAGTTGGTAACAGAATCTTATGGAACTTTTAGTTATTAATCAATCACCACAGATGTTTATAGAAATACAACTTAAGTGGTAAATGCATTATATCCTGTAACTGAATGTTTGTATATAAGTTTGATAAGTTTGTTTATCTGAAGAATTGCCATTTTTCCCCCTTGGCCTTTTATCTTATTATGGTTATTTATAATAGATTTTTCAATATTGAACTATTCTTGCATTCATGGTACAAATTCCACTTTGTCTTGGTGTATTTTTCTTTTAATATACTGGCGAATTATATTTATTTAGGATGTTTACATCTGTATCGGTTAGCAAATTTTATCTTTGGTTTTCTTTTATGCTGTTATGGTCAGATTTTCTATTGGTGCTATGCTGCCTTCCTATAACAAGAATTAGGTACTTTCTGAAGAAATTTAAATGATAGTACTGTAAGTGCCTTTATATAGATAGAGACCTGGACTAAAGGATATATGTGTAATTTTCATTAGATTTTTCTAATACCTTTTGGTTAATTACTTGCTGCAATTATGTAAGTAATCATTTATGTCTTAAATTATTACTTGGTTGTTAAAAACTTGATTTGAGAGTTGTAGTCATATGCTAATTTAAGTTGAACACTAATTTGATACTGGATATTAAGAAAGATTTCATTATAAAAATAATAAAGTTATAAAAATAACTTTAAGAAAGATTGAAATCTTGCCTTTATAATGTAGTCAAATTCAAGGTACGCTGTTATGATTTTTGTTGGTTTCATTTGCTATTCAGAGATAAGCATTTGGTAAGCTTTGACAAATTATTTAAGAGATAAAATTTGTAGTAAAATGAATATTGCTGTCACTGAAGCAGAAAATGTATTATAACATTTTTTTTAACTGAATAAGATTTTATAACTGGTTAAGAACACCTTTTGATCTTGCCTTTTAGCTGTGTTGGATTTTATTTAACTGAGACTGATTTAAATAACTAGTTAGGAAAATTAAAGAGTGTATTCATATTTGATAGTTTCTTGATGTCAGTAGATTTAAATTCCATGTTTGGAAGGCATACAAAATACATTTTAAAACTAAAAGCCATTTTATTTTTAAATGCTAATTGACTCAAACCTTTTTCCCAAAGAGGACATGATCTGTAGGATGGAGAGATGGTTAAATAGGCAACCAGCTAACTTTAATAATGGCAATCCTTATTAGACAGTATGTTCCAGTGGGCAAGAGCTTGTTTGCTATTTACCTTACCATGTTTTTGTAGTATTTGACACCGTTGACGACTCTGTTCTTGAATCTGTCTTTTCTTAGCTTCTGTGATACCTCTTTTCCCTAGTTCTCCTATTTATCTGTGTTTCTTCTTGCTTTGGATCTTCTTTTTCTCACCACTAAAATTTTGCTCTTCCCAGTTCATTCAGTCCTTCCTTCTCCCTTTATCTTCTCTAAGCCATTTTTTCTATAGCTTTAACCACTAATTTGTGTATTAAACTCACACGTCTGCTGAGCTTGCAGTCTATTGTCTATGGGACATCTCCATGTGAATGCTCCAAAATATCTAAAAAATCTAACAAAGTGGTCCAGTTTAAATCTCATTCGTACAGATTAGTTCTGAAGTATAAAAGAGCCTTACTAGTTTTGTCTGAAAGACATTCTTATGATAATTATTTTGACTGAAGCTATCATTGGGAATGACTGGTGTCATTGAGGCATGGAAAAATTAGATAAAATTAAGTCTGTATCGTATTGGTTAAAAACTTGGGCTCTAAAATTAGTTTTAATAAGATATGTTATCTGGTTAGTATAAATTCATTTGTGGTAGAAATTAATTAAGGCTATAGTCTTGTTAAACATGGGCTTAATCCCGAAAATCACAGAATAGGTCAGTGGTTCTTTATTTTAAGTTTTAACACTTTATCAATGATATCCTCCCCTGCCCTCCTTTTTGTTTTCCATGGATTAGCAAGAATAATTTTTCTAACACATTTAAAATTTTTACTTTTAACAGAAATTAGCAGAGTACGGAAAGACATGTACAATGACACATTAAATGGCAGTACAGAGAAAAGGAGTGCAGAATTGCCTGATGCTGTGGGACCTATTGTTCAGTTACAAGAGAAACTTTATGTGCCTGTAAAAGAATATCCAGATGTAAGTATATTTTGTTGTTTTATTCTTTTTTTGTGTGCTTCACATACTTTGGGAAGAGATATATTTGATTGTAAATACTTAAGCATTATCAGCCACTTTAATAATTTATGTGAGGGATTTGAAGTGTGAATAATTTGGCATGGATAATTTAAAAAATTTCTTTCTAAATATGTTTCCATTTGATTACTGCTGTGTCACTTTTGGAAATGCACACAGGTAAAGACTGTCATGGATTCCAGATGGGGCAAGGAAAACTACTGTTTGTAATGCAGTTTTTTTTTCTTTCCCTCTTAGTCCGTTCAACTATTCTCTATAAGCATCTTGTTGAGAATAATCTCCATGTACTACACCAGTTAATTTCTAATCAAAATTCAGACTCTTTTCATTTTGTTATAAAGCCCTAGATAAGATGGTCCATTCTGTTTCTCTGACCTCATCTTAAATGATTTTCCCTCTTCTTCACTGTACTATAATAACATTGGCCTTCTTTTGGCTTTTAGAACAAGTCAAGTCTATTCCCAGCCTTAGGCCTTTTTTGTTAGCTATAATCTGATCTCTACTGGCTATCATCTTCTTGGTATTAAAGATTTTAACTTAAATATCATTTCAGAGAAGCCTCCCCACCACTTTATCTAAAGGCCATCTGGTTGCTCATTGTTTCACATAAATCTTTTTTTTACTTCTGCAATGGCACTTATTATCTGGTATTTTTCTTGTTTGTTTATTTCTCTGTTTCTCTCCAGCAGGAATGGAAGGTACATAAAACAAGAACCTGTCTTTGTTATTCACTGCTGTACCACCCATAATACTGGCACGTAATAGGCACCCAATATCTGTTAAATACATGTAGGAAAAAAATGGTGATTTTTTTGCTGGGTTTCGGGGAACTTCTCTGAAAGCAAACAAAAGAAGGAATTGGTATTATAATGTCAAAAATGTGATGGATGCTCCAAGACTCATTGGTTATGTAGACAGAATACTAGCGTGCAGATGGGAAATAAATGTCCTAAGTTGGATTAATGGGAAGAAGCTTTCGTATTTCACAATTTTCATTTCCAATGCAATTTTATTTAAAGCTTATACATTTATTCTATTAAGTATTTTTGGTTGCAAATATACAAACAGTACGGGGTAATGTAGGCAAAAGAAGAGTTAATTGGAAGATTATCAGGTAATACAAAGAATTAAAGTTGTGTCTGGAAAACAAAACTTCATGTAAGGCAGGAAGCAGTGCATCTCTGAGAACTTCAGCAGCAGGAGTTTGTGGACCTTCATGACATGACATCAGTGCCTCCTAGACTTTGTCTTCAATTTCAGATTCTTGGAGGAGAGAAAGTGTTTTGGGCCAATTTACTGTGACTAGGGAAGTGAGGTTATGTAGTTATGTACCACAACCTAGACATGACCACTATGGGACTGCCCTGGATATTAATATTATTTCTCAAGATGGGGAATTATGATTTGGGCAGCTGTCCCAGTTGGGGTCTACTGCTATTTGGTGTTCCAGTATCCCCTAAAGGATAGCAACCTTCTCATTTGCGTGTTTAAACCCTAAACGACAAAGTTTCAGCAATAGTCAGTAACACAGACTGTATGAGACCTATTTCTCCATAAGACCTTGATGGAGAAATATAACCTTGATCTGTCTGGTTTCATTCCTCCTCCTCAAAAAAAAAAATCTCATTCTGGGTAGAGATATTAAGACTGCATCATTTAAAAGAAAAGTGTTCCATACAACCTTCTATGTCAAGACCTGGATCTAGAGAGTACCTTTTCACTATACTCCTTTCTTTCTTTTACCAGTTGTGAGTCATTGCCCTGGTGAGCTACTTTTACTAACAGGTATATTGGAATATAATATTGTCTAGATCAGTGGTTCTCAAAATGTGGTTTCTGGATCGTAGTATCCACACCTCCTGGGATGTTGTGAATGTTCGAGCCTCATCCCAGACGAGTTTAATCAGAAACTCTGGGTGTGAGGCCTAGCAGTCTACCTCTTTAACAACAAAACCATATAGATGATTCTGATACATGCTAAAGTTTGAGAATCACTGCTCTAAATTTTTTTTTTTTTATTGTCAGAGTAAGCCAGGCTAACAGGTAGGTGATTATGTACATGGTAATTTTGATAGGTATTATTTCAGGAGGTGAGTAGAGTGGTGAACTAAACGATGTCCCTGCTGTTATGGAGTGGGCATTTCAGTGGCAGAGTTAGACGATAAACAAACGAGTATTTACTTTTAGGCGTTGTCAGTGCTATGGGGAAACAAAATGGGGCACACAGATGAACAAAGACTGTACGTGTGGGAGAGGTGTTCAGTTTTAAGGATGATCAGGGATAGAATCTCTTCTAGGATGATGGGAATGGAGGGAGATGAAAGGAGTGATGGGAAGAAGGCAAGAAAACCATCTGGGGGAGGAACATTCCAGGCAGAGTGAACAGCAAGTGCAGTGACTCAGGCATGAGCATGCTTGGGAAGTGTGGCAAGATGTGAGATTAGAGAGTTAGTAGAGGGGTCATATCATGTATGTTTCCCATATCATGGGCCTACAAGCCCACATGAAAAATTTTGTATACCATTCTGAGTGAAATGGTAAGCCATCCATATGTTTTGAGACTAGGAGCGACATGAGCTTACATGGATTTTTGATAGGTGTATTCTAGTTGCTGCGTGGACAAAGACTGTGGGAAATGGTGGTAGAAGCAAGACCAGTTGGGAGGCAGGGGAGGACACTTGAACAAGAGGAGTTAAGAAAAATGCTTGAACCCTGCATAGATTTTCAAGTTAGAACGGGTAGGATTTGCCGATAAATTGGATATGGAGTGAGAGAGAAACTCAGGAGCGATCCAAAGGTTTTGATCATTTGGAGTAATGGAATTGCCAGTTCCTGAGATAGGAAAGACTGAGGGAGGAGCCAGGTTTGGGGGAGTTGGGGATTCAGCAGTTCTCATGTAGAGGTGTTAAGCTAGAAGGCAGCCATCCAGAGTGGGGATGTCAAGTAGGCAGGTGGATGTACAAGTTTTAGATGACCCTTTTGGCACTCAAAAATGTCTATTTAACAAAGCTTTTTAAATTAGAATTTTAGTTGTAATTCATAGAAGGAGAGAAATAGGTACAAAATGGTTTTGGTCTTCCAGATAATTTTTTTAATACCTTGATTTTAAATTTCTATTAAAAGAGCTTAAGTTTAACAAATTTAGATCTGCACGTAATTTTTGAGTTTTTCTAAATTAAGGTAATTAATACATACTTAAGTGAGCAATAAGTATTTTGTGGTATAAGGAAGTTTATCATTTAAAAAAATTAAATAGTATTAAACAAAATGAAACAAGGGAGTCTCAGATTTTGGCACTATGAGAAAAGATTTATTTCAGAATTTTGAATTAGATATAGGCTACTTGAAACAAATATGCACTCTTCCAACCCTTGCTTTTTCTTCATTTAATGGGTCTTGGAGATAATTCCATATGCTTCTGTCCCTGCCCCCATTTGTATGTAAGCTTGATTTTGTGGGTGAATTCAGCCTATTTTGCTAAAAAATGCTTTTATAATTCAAGCTTCAGACGGGCAGTGTAACGGGTAGTGGTCAGAAATATGAACTCAGACTCCTGGCTAGCTCCACTGCTTGTTTTATGACTTTGAGCAAATTACTTGTCATTCCTGGTCCTCAGTTTTCTCATCTTTTATTGTCTCTCACAGGATTATGAAGACTAAATGAACTAGTATGTGTAAAGCACTTGGAAAATGCCTTTATGCTATATAAGTGTTACCAGAATGTAAGCTTCATGAGGACAGGGATTTTTTGTCTGCTTTTTTTCAGTGCTATATTCTCAGGCCTTAGAATAGTGTCTGGTAAATGGTAGACCGATGTGAGAAGAGAGCCCTAGATTCAGTCTGAGAAATGAGGTAATGCTGTATAGTGCCCTTCACAATGGTTTTGAACCACTGGCTTAATGATGTGGGAATGAGAAGCTAAAATGAGTTAGCCTATTGACAGTATTTTAAAAATTTACGAATTCATATTAATATTTATATTTATTAATAAATAACATTTATTAATAAAGCAGGCTTTTATTGCATCTCTGTTGTGTGTCAAGCACATCCTTGGCGTAGGAATATTAATTCAGTTGAAAAGACTCTTTGATATAGTCAAATTAGTGCGTTTTTGTGTCAGACAAACTTAGGTTTTGAGTCCTGGCTTACCCCTTTTTGTTGTATTTGTTAGGAATATTAATTCAGTTGAAAAGACTCTTTGATATAGTCAAATTAGTGAGTTTTTGTGTCAGACAAACTTAGGTTTTGAGTCCTGGCTTACCCCTTTTTGTTGTATTTGTTGTATTCGTAATTGTTGTATTTGTCAACAATTGCCACAGTAATATTCCATAGTAAAACACTCTCAAATTCATTGGTTTAAAATAATAAGCATTTATTTCTGTGCTCATGTTGGCTGAGGTTCTGTTGATTGAGGCTGAGTATGGGTCGATGGAGGCTAGCTGTGGGTAGATTCAGATCATATCCATTTTATGTTCCTGCTGGGCCCAGGCTGAAGGAGCAATGGCTACTTGGGGCATGCTGTTATCACGGCAGATTGCTGGAGTGCCAGAGCCAAGCCAAATTGCATAATCACTTGTAAGGCCTCTGATCTTGTCTCTTCTGCTAACACAATCCATCAGCCCAGTGTTTCTCAGCAGGGGCCAGTTTTGTCTCGAGGGACATTTGGCAATGTCTGGAGATATTTTTGGTTGACTTGGGAGGGGATACTGGCATCGTGGGTAGAGGCCAGTAATCCTGCTAAACATCCTACAATGCACAGGACAGTCCTCACAACAAAGAATTATGTGGCCCACAATGCCAGTAGTACAGAGGTTAGGGGATACTGGCATCGTGGGTAGAGGCCAGTAATCCTGCTAAACATCCTACAGTGCACAGGACAGTCCTCACAACAAAGAATTATGTGGCCCACAATGCCAGTAGTACAGAGGTTGAGAAACCCTGTAT